TCTCTCTCTCTCTCTCTCTCTCTCTCTCTCTCTCTCTCTCTCTCTCTCTCTCTCTCTCTCTCTCTCTCTCTCTCTCTCTCTCTCTCGATTCTTGTTTGTATGTCGTGTTTTGATCGTTGTAAAATGCAAAAATTTTGAAATCGCTTTTTTCGAAGAAATTTTTATTTTGGCCAGGCGTAATCATTTTGTTTTCTTCCAATTTTTTCTCTACTTTTCTATACACACGTAATAAGATTTGCAGAGAAAAAAAATTGCAAACAAAGGATATAAATAGTTTCAAAATCCAAGTTAATCTGCTATTGTGATCGTCATGTTTATTTCTAAAAAGTCGTACGATGTCGTTGTTATTGTTGTAGAGTCATTTTTTCAGAACTATACTTCATTGACTTTAACAATGTATTTAACAATGACTTATTATGATTCTGAGAAAAATCACCTAATTGTCGACCCAAAAAAAAACAAATCACAATGTAAACGTACTATTCCAAAAGTGTTTTCGTAGCAGCTGCTACTGCTATCAATGCGTATAATTTGCTGTGTGTGTTTTTTTTCTCGTACGAGTGTTTGTTTACACCTTTTGTCACTATCATCTGTTTGTTCTCATGTGGATGGATTTTTAATCCGTTCGGAGCATAATTCATTCATTCATTCGCTCACATGCTATTTTTTTTATCGTTCCACCAATCGTCACATTTCATACGCTCACTCATTCATCACATCACATCACACAATCGTTTTTTTTTCGCTCCTAACACAACTGTAAATTATAATTTTTTATTCTGAACAAACAAATCAAATTCAACAATGAAATTAAAATAGTCATAAAAATCTTTAGTCCGGTAGGCAGCGCTTTCGTGAATTGCGTCAATGCATGCAAAATGATGAGGATGAAAATCCTGGCAACACTCTGACGCCTGATTCGCAGGTATTTTATTTTTACAGTTTCATTTTAATTTTTGTGTTCCAATTTTTAGACAAAGAAGAAGTAACAAATCAAATTGTTTGATTCTTTGTGTGTTTTGTCAATATTTTTGCTTGTGATTTTCGCTACGATCAATTTGGCATGAGATTTTCTTGTTGTGAGCTCTGTTCTTTTTTTTCGTTTCACTTTGCTTGGTAAATGTAATATTGAGTTTGACCGAAAAAATGATTCGAACATTTTTTTTATCAAGCGTTCAAAGACAATTTCTGTCCTGTACATGAAATGATTCGAACAATGAATCCACTTGATTTTTCAAACTCCGTCGACATTCGTAAATAATTTAAATTTTTATTTGGTAAATTTCATTTCCACAGAATAGTTCAGTTGAAGGTGTTTTTGCGCCACAACGATCAACCCATCCCTTTAGAATAATCGAAAACGATGCAATTAGTATACAAAGTATGACGTCATTGGGACGAGTGGGTCGAATTTTAGCGGGAACGGTTGATGTAACGAATTCCACGGCCGATAAAGATACGTGCAGCACAAATGCCTTAACGGTGGATTGGAATGCGGCGAGCACAAGCACAGCAACATCAACAGCAGCAAATGATGTGGTCAGCGATCGAAAGACAAGGTCCACCATTAGTGGTAGTTGTAATGTAAACGATTCGAGTACCAGCAGCAATGATAACACCAATAATAATAATAATAATACGATGACGCTACAAGGTATGTACAGTGTGCCCAATCAATTTTCATCAATTAAAATTCCAACAATGCATTTAATTACGACGAAAAAATGTTTTTGATTTCAAACAGAACCCGATGTGATTGCCAGCACCAAATTAGCTCATTCAAAAACGACAGACAGTCTGATACAATCAGGACCGATAGCACCGCCACGAAGAAAGAAAAAATCGATAAAAACCATATCGATGAATTCAGTGGAGCAAGTTAGCTGTACGGAATCGTCGCCATCATCAACGGAAAGTAAGCTGAAATTAAGTGTTGCCTTACCACCAGCATCGACCGAATGCGCTGCATCTTTGCCAAGCCCCGCAACCAAAGCCATTGAAACGCTAACGAGAGAAATTGAAAATTCATTCGTTGGATCATCTAGTAGTAATTCACGTACCGAAATCGGCGGCTCAATGAGTCGAATATGTCAATCGTTAGGCAATTCATCGACATCGGTGTATTCAAAACCTAGTCCATCGAATAGTTCAAAAAGTAATTCGGCGCCGGGTAGAGCGAGTTCAATTGATCCAACGCAAGGGCTCAATTTGTATAAAGCAACGCGGGGACAATATGTTGTGAAACCACAAGACGAAGAAGCGAACAAAGCTGAAGGCCCATCGAAAGAAGAACTCGAACGAATTGAGAAAATTCGGGCAGAAATTTTTGGCACAAATATTAATTTACAGCGTCCTCATTTATCGGCAACGGGATCGAATAGTTTAGGCAACGGAATGAGATATGGAAATAATCTAGCAAAGGCAGCACTATTAGCAAAAGAACGAAGGAAATCGGCGGGCGACGAAGATGTGTTAAAACAATTAAATGTGTTTGTCCGAACGCGCACCGATTCGGGGAAAAAGCTGACGGATTTCGAGATTTTAGAGCAAGTGCCAGTCAAAAATTTAGATACAGGTGAAAAGATTCCATTGTCTGAGGTGAAACCACCACCTCCGCCAGACGGTTGGAATCCATTGTCGCTGCACATACACAAATTGACCAGCCATTTGGAGGCGTTGCAGAAGGAATCGGACGAAGAGAGTGTGATCGGAGTACCACCCGGTGTTGAGGCGCCCGTTATGGACGAAGATGAGGTTGAGAACGAGGAGAGTGGCCGCATTAAGCGTAAAACCGCTCGGCTGAAACGTTTCTTCGGCTCAACCATGCGAAAAACCGTCGATAAAGCCAAATCAATTGCATCGGAAGTGTCACATGCCCGGCACAAAGAAGATGTTGCTGATATCGTTGATGTGGTCAACCCTGAACAGAATATCAAAATAAAAGCCTCCAGTACGAACAAAGGACCGTATGAATTTGCAAAATTGCAACACGTTCAAGATTTGTCCGGCGAACACACTGGCGCTGTTTGGTGCATGAAATTTAGTTCATGCGGGCAATTACTCGCCACAGCCGGTCAAGATCGTGTGCTTCGCATTTGGGTATTGAAAGCGGCCTATGGATATTTTCAAGATATGCGCACGAAATATAATGCCGATCAAAAGTCATCACCAACACCATCACAAGAATCGCTTGTCTCGCATAATTCAGCCGAGGAGGCAATCGCAATGGCCACGGCGGCTGAACAAAGCGCTGGACCATTCATGCCAAAGGCATTTTGCTCGTATACGGGTCACACTTCAGGTAAAGTTCGAACCAGTTGGGACCGATAACAGAGGCTGTTTTTCGAACCAAATTGACAATTTTCAGATTCAATTGAATTGTGGATCATGGGCATTTAAAATTAAATTATTTTTTATCGTTTTCAACAGATCTTCTTGATGTTTCATGGTCAAAGAATTACTTTATCTTGTCGAGTTCGATGGATAAAACGGTGCGACTGTGGCACATTTCAAGACGAGAATGTCTTTGTTGTTTCCAGCACATTGATTTCGTAACGGCCATTGCGTTCCATCCACGTGACGATCGATACTTTTTGAGTGGCAGTCTCGATGGTAAACTTCGTCTATGGAATATCCCCGATAAAAAAGTTGCCCTGTGGAATGAATTAGATGGTCAAACCAAATTAATAACCGCCGCAAATTTCTGCCAGAACGGAAAATTTGCCGTAGTTGGATCGTACGATGGTCGTTGCCTGTTTTACGATACCGATCAGAATTTAAAATATCACACACAAATTCATGTGCGATCAACGCGAGGCCGAAACAAAACCGGACGCAAAATCAGTGGCATCGAACCAATGCCTGGCGAAGATAAAATTCTAGTTACATCAAATGACAGCCGTGTTCGATTGTACGATTTACGAGATTTGAATTTGAGCTGTAAATACAAAGGCTACTTGAATACATCGTCGCAAATAAAAGCATCGTTCAGCCACGATGGCAAATACATCATTGCCGGTTCGGAGAATCAATGTATTTATGTGTGGAAAACGAATCACGACTACAAATTGAGTTCGGTTAGTTTGGAGCGTTATTTTTTCGACCATTTCCAAGTTCGGATTGAATCTTATGTTTATGGTTGCTATTCTCATTTCAAATAGGTGCGGAGAGACCGAAGTGATTTCTGGGAGGGAATTAAGGCACACAATGCCACCGTAACATGTGCAATATTTACGCCACATCCCGAGACAATCATTAAACCAGAAATCGACGATGATGATATTTCTAGTGTAAATGTAAGCACCCTCCCCCTTTTCCACCATAAATATTTTATTCAAACATCTCGATGCGAAAACCATTTCATGCTAAAATTCCCATTGTTCTTTTCATTTTTCACAGAGCTCAAGCATAGCGCAGGATCCGATGGTTGAGCAACGTAAAAAAGGTTGTGGTTATGTTTTGATTAGTGCCGATTTCAATGGGGCCATCAAAGTATTTGTGAATAAAACGAAGCCGAAACACAGCAGTTTGCCATACACGGCAATTTTGGACTAAGCCATGCAAATCATTCACATTTTCTCTCTCTCACAAACATACACACATACACTCAGATTATCTGTTCTATTTCTTTTTTGACTAGATCTCCCATGAATTTTTCTCTATTATTCCGTCTCTTTTTTGTTTTTCTTTTGCTTCTTTTATTCTCATTATACGCGCCTTCCGCGAAGAATTGCCCATGCAGTGAATTGACCGTTCCTTGTTTAATTGCATATTAGTATTATTAATTCATTTTATTGTAATTATATAGTTATTTGTATAATTTTATTTTGCTCTAAATTATTCATTGTATTTTGGTATGAAGTGTGGTTGTAAACAAATTTCACGGAATACAAACAACTAAATACACAAAATGATAAGGTTGATACGAGCCAAAAAGAAAAAAAAAATTATGTGAAAATAAATGATGGAAATGCAGACGAGTCATAAACAATTGTTTACAAAATGAAAAGTAACTCATAATAGCGCAAAAATTACGTTGTTAGAAAATCATTAACGGTTAGAATTTGTATATCGTCGTTGGTAAATGCCATTGCACAATTTCGATTATAAAATGATATTGTAACTAAATCCTTCGACGTTAGTTGAATAAAGCCATTTTTTGATAACTTATATGTTTCGATTTGTAGAATTTTTATTTTGATGTATGTAAAAATGGTGGGCGCCGATACCGAAATTTCAATTGTCGCCGAATGCAAGTTAGTCTTTGAATTGCAATGTTCGTTTGTGATGTTGTACTGCAATTTAAGAGACAAAATGAATTATTAGAAAAGATAATGGTTTTTATGTTGGTTTTTTCAAATAATGACGAAACAATGGAAAAAGTGATAATAAAGATAACAATAAATCAAGCATTTTAGTTTAAACGAACCTGCAACTGTGGATTTGTTATTTGTTTGCTATTTTTAAATTTGTCCAACAGAAGGAAATTTGTTGAAAGCAATTCCCCATTCGTTTTATCTCTTAGCTCAAAATTCATAAAGCTATTCTCTTTCGTAATCGCATCGTTCAAGAAATCGTTTAGGTTTTCATGAATCACACGTTCAACAAATTTTTCGGGCTGAAACAGATTTTTGAAAGTGAAAGATTTTGAAGTTCCAAAATTGATCTATTGAATATTTGTTTTTTTTCTCCTCGAATTGGGACTGAAAAAATAAACATAAATAACCTACCATCGATATAACGAAACTTCGTTGAAGAACCGGCTTTAAACTCGACCAATTGTAAATGCGTAAAAATAGATTGAGTGTTGGAGCTCGTCCAATCGTATCTTTAATAATGAATACATTCAATTTGTCCAATGGATCGATGTGAGCCACAACATGCGTAGGAGCAAAGAATTCTTTTGCCCAATACTGTAATAGTTTGAAGTTTCCATTATGCTCAATGCTCGACCATGATGGTGCTGTCCAAACGTCATTCAATTGCCAATATAAAGCGCCCATTGTTTTCCACTCAAAAAAGCGTCCAACCCTATCAAACGAGAGAAAACCAAAAGAAAATATTCAACATTTTGCCTATTATTTTTATCATCAGTCAAAGGTCATATGTGTCCAACCTATATGTTTCGGTTTCAATTTTCGTTGACATGGCTTGATTTATTTGGCTGAAGTATATGTATGCGTCCCAGTAGTTGCTATCGGTTTTCTTGGGCAATTTAAAATTTCTATTGATCGCCGTTGTGATTGGAATGCTGCCAAATGGAAAATGTTGACGATGTCCAATGAGGTCACCGATACTATCGGTCGAGTACATCGTTTGCTCCAAGCTATGCATCGATGGAACACTTTGAAAACCATATTCGGATATGAATCGGGCCTTAGGGAAAATATTTGGAGTCCATGCATCCAAAATGTAGTTGTAAAAATGAACTGTGTATCAACGAAGAAAAAAAATTCAAGGTGAATGTATTGAATCGTTTCATTCTAATGGATTTTCAATATTCAGTGTACGTAAAGAAGTTCACTTACCATCACCGTGATTATTATCCTGTGGATTTTCATTGATAACTTGCTGTGATTGGTTACCATTTGATGGCGATGAATACAACCAAATGTGCCATTGATCGTTTTCCACGACGGCTTTTTCAATCACATCTCTGTACAGTTGAACGTATTCTTGTATAAATCTCGGTTGTTCGCGCCTTGTTCCATACCAATTTTGAATTAAAGCCGCTTCGTTTTCATTATTTCCTGCCCAAAGCAGAATCGATGGATGATGTTGTAAGCGGCGGACATTTTGAACGATCTCCAATTCAACGGATTTCAAAAATGATGGATAAACGGGATACATTGCACAGGCAAACATCATATCCTGCCATATGAGAATGCCATGCTCATCGGCTAAATCATAGAAATAATCGGATTCGTATACACCGCCACCCCACACGCGAATCGAATTCATGTGAGCTTCTTTGGCCGAAAGTATTAAATATTCAATTTTTTCGTTGTCAAACATGTTCTCGGGCAAAATATCCGTTGGAATCATGTTTGTGCCCTTCATAAATATCGGTACATCGTTCACTTTGAAATAGAACAAATTGCCAGTGTCCGTTTTATCTTCAAGTAGTTCAACGGTTCGAAAGCCCACCCGTACCACTTTTTTCGAGCGCAAATATTCAATCGGAATTTGTTTAATCTCATTGGTATAGATATCACGATTTTCTCCCAACCAAGTAACATTCAAGCGATACAGTGTTTGATTACCAAATCCATTTGGCCACCATAATTCGACCAAGTGCTTAGGAACAGAAAATGTAATTGTTTCTTTGAATGAATCATCGGTTGTTTTGGAGATGAGCACATGCTTTTCTATGATGGGAGTTTCCGGTACATCCATCAAATCGATAAACAAATATCCTTCGACTGAACGCGGAGTCTGTGAACCGACGCCAGATTCCAGGTATATGGATAAATCAACTTGCCATTGGTCTTCCAAGGAATGCAATGAAAATGTGACATCACGAATTATCGCCGTGTCATACACCTCCAGAACGACTGGCTTCCTATTGAAAAGAAAATTTCTTCAATTTTTGTCTAAAAATGGTTCAAAACTATCAACAACTGTCAATTACTCTCCGAGAAAAAATCAATCGAATTTTAAAATTATTTTTATTCAAAATGTAAAAAATCAATGCGAACCAAATGCCCATAGAAGGGGCTGCAAGGCCCCAATCCCATGAGAAGCTCGCCTGCATTTTTCGCAATTGATTCATATGACATTCGCCATGGTAAACATTCGGTGGGCATTCGGGCGGTGTGAATGTATTTTCGGCGGCATATTGTTTTGCTGCGTCAATCGGTGATTGAAATTGAATTTCGAGGTAATTATTCGACTAAATTAAAACCGTAAACAAAACAAAACAAAAACAGATATATATCAATATTTACATGAATTCGAACTAGATTATGACTAAAAATATATACCGTTATCAATTTATCGCGAACATTGTAGCGATATCGTACAAACATGTTATTTGGATTGGGCAACAGCTCTTGACTATTTATAGTGATATTTGCGATCGTGTCAATACCGTGAAAAACTAGTAAAATTTGCGAATGATTCAGAAGCTCCTCCGTAACTGTGGGAATGAAAAAGATCAAATTCATCAATCCATGTTTTTTCCGGCTTTTTTCCCATCATCTTAAGGCATATCCACTTACCACCAAAATTCACTGAGTACTTCCATTTGTCCTTAGCGATCCATCGCAGATTAACATCATTGTAACTGTTTAAAACCGAATCGGTGATATTTGCATGCTCCAAAGCGGTGTAAATACCTGATGGGATTTGTTCATTGTGTATTTGAATACCTAAAAAATTTGAATGTTTAACGTCTGTTTTTTGTTGCGACTATCAATACATTCGTGACAAATGTTAATAGAATTAACGTTTTTCAAAATAAAGTTGTCGCTTACTCTGATTTCCATTTGTTACGGTCCAACCATCGAATAGTGATATTTCAATGGCACCACTGATAACCACCGAAATGAGAATATTCAATAAACAATAGGAACTAAAATTCTGCATTCGATTCCTCGTCATTGTTGTCTTGCACTTTGTGATCGCAACATTCAACAAGTATCGAAACTATTTTGAAATGTATCAGTTAACTTAGATCAAGGGTTTCTTTGTGCGACACAGAACTTTTTCAATGCTTTCTCGTGTGGCTGAATCGTGTCTAATAGAAATAAATTTCAATTTGCAAATAATGGAAATGCCTGCTTCGCTTGGCATATGACGAACGATGAAGTAACGAAAAACAAAATAAATCGAAAACCGTACCGTACAAAGTAAATTAAATTAATGTATAATGGACGGATTAACGCTCAGCTGACACATCGATGGTACAAAAATATCGTTGCACACTGTCAATAGATGAAACATTAACACAAAAAATACATATATTCGCTTCAACGTGCCGTGACTTTGTGCGAGAATGTAATAAATACATGTAAGGTGAGAGCCATGGAATCAATCTGATTCAATATGTTATGGCTCTATTTGTGTATTTATTTAGACTGGCGTAAATGAAACGAATACTTGGAAACAAAATCATGTAATAAATATTTATAAACAGTATTGAACGAAAGTGATTACGCTTGGACGGAGCGATTCCCTTTCTGACCTTCCACTTGAAATATTTAACTTAAGTCGAAATGGCAAATATTTGTTTCTTCTTTTTTATGATCACATAGATTTGTTTGAGAGAGTGTTTGAAGCCACTTTTTTCTGGTTCAGTCTCAAAAAGGCAAGAATGTTGAAGAAAAAATGGTAATCAACGCATTCATTTCTCATGTAAATGAACTAATTTCTTGTTCTTTTGTATTCCAACCGATGTGTTCTATGCCGCATAACCATCGGAACGCACAGCTGTACCGTTGTGCTGTGAACAAACGGTCGCAATCATACACACTTATTCGTCATAGTCGTCATAGTCGTCGTCGTTGCCACACTGTCAGCTGAACAGTTCATTTGTTTCGTCTCGTTCGGTGCGCTCTTATAATTCGCTATTGCAACGTATGAGCAAAATGGTTAAGAGCTGTGCATAAACTATGGTTCGGTATCGCTTCTCGGCCTAAAGGCTAAGATCAAAGTGTAGTATCTGTTCTTATCAGCTTAACATCTGATAGTTCCACCATTGGTGGACAACAAATGTTAAACTGATTTTTGGAAAATGGCAGAGTGCTAGAAGCTTGCTTCACCTCAGCCGCGGGTTGGCCTCGTATTGCACTAAACGCGAGGAATCGGCCCAACAATCTCTCTCAATGAAAAAAAAATAAATAAAAAAAATTGGTGGAAATACAAATCGCTTCATTGTGATATTTTTCAGTTGATGAATAGAGCATTGATTTGTGTTGTGCTATGCATGAGCAAGGCAACAGTAATTTTCATCATTTTGATCGTCACACCTCTTCGACTTTTGACACATATGCGCGCAAGCAGTCGAATAGAAAATTAGAGTTAAGAAAGGCTGTGCAGTGTGCACTCAATATGGCATTAAAACAATGGCAATTTCGTTCAAGCAAACATAAACACTTACCATTTTCAATAAAGGAAATGAGCGGCACATTTCAACGTATGTTCCAAACGATTTACTCGATATTATTCGAAATGAAAAGAAAAAAATGAGTACACCAATGGCATTTACAAGATATTTTAGTTTAAGTTTTATTTTTGTTTCTCATAAGCGTTGTGTAATACAAGCAAATCGTTCCATTCTTTTGGTATTTCTTGTTGTTGTTACTTTTTTTTCTGTCTGTTTTTGTTGTTGTTGATGTTTATTGTTTGTTACTTATGATTTAACGTTTGCATTTTCTGACTTTTTTCTTTCATTATTATTTTCTCATTCAGTGTATCGTCACAATTTGATCAGGCAAACATTTCATTGTTTTTGCAAACGAAAGAGCGAACAAAAAAAAAATAAAGCGAAACCAAATGGAGAAATGAAAGGTTCAAAGGCTCTCGAGAAGAAAAGAAAACACGATCGTCCGTCGATTTAAATAGATATTTGGTGACGGTAGTACTTGTGCTCAACTAAACTTTAGTTTAGAGGCTATAGCCTCTGATTTAATAAAAATATCCACTCACTTAACACAGACAGAAATCAAAATAAAAGAATAAAATATAATTTGTTGTTGCGCTAAACTATTAAAAAAAAAAACGGTTTTTTGCTTTGCATTATAAAAATAAAATTGCATATATGGCACACTTACAATAGGAGATTTTTGTCTTGGAAATTGAGGGGGAACAATGCAATTGAAATGAATTTTTGTTCTCAATTCATTCAAATACTTTTTTTTGTGTTGTAAGTATGCCAATCCATTCGAAGTCTTTCATTCGAAATGCCAAGATAAATGTTTGTTTTCCGAAGTAATAATGTGGCTAGCAAAAAAAACATTGTATTTCTTTTGTCGCTACAGCATTTCAGCTAATTGTTTTTGTATCTCCATTTTGTGATGGGGACAATAAACGATTAATATAAACTTTGGATCGATCTACTATTCATTTCTATTTGCTTGCGCTGTCGCACATTCACACGATTCAGCCGCATACACATCAGCTTCATATTTCTTGGAAAATATTTGTTACGACGATCAGAGAAAGAGATTTTTTTTCGGTTTGGATTTTTTTTCTTAACAATTTAAAGATTTCGTTTAACAACCAATAATAATCATTCGCGTTTGGTTTGGTTGATGTTGACAAAGATCTAAATTTATTTCTCTTTTTTTTTAAATTTACTGATGCTCCAGAAATAAATGCGTGGAGTGAGACTGAGATGCGATTACGATGTGATGCCATTAGGATGTGTTTCTGTCCACAGACATTATCTTGTTTTATTTTTGTTGTTGTTGTTGTTTCCTTTGATTATGTGGAAATATAAAATAAACGTGTCTTTACTTGACTGATTAGAAGATTGATTACATTAGAATAATTAATTAGGTAGAATATAATCATAACTAGAATTTAATCGTTTACCATAGAATTGGTTTATGCTTCATTTTTCTTTTCTTTTCTTTTTCGGTGATGATGATGATGTTGATGTGTTATGATTTGTGCTGCAATATAAAAGAATTGTTCTTGATTTTTTTTTTACTTGTTGCTGTTGTTTGGTTTTCCATTTCACGATAAATATTCCATTTGTTAAATACAATAATTTTGCTTTTATTTATTTGTTGTTCTTATTGTTTGGTTTTTTTCTTCATTTCTCAATCATTTTTGAGTTTTGGAATAATTAAGCTTAAATACATATTCATATGTATGACTTGTGTGTAATAGTTTTTCTTTATTCTTAGGAGTCTATTAAAAAAAACGCAAATAATAATTAATTTATTATTATTTTTTTTCTTATTCTTCATCCTCCTCAACTAATACACTTTATATGACTTTTTTATGCTTGCTTTTTTTGAATCGAGTTTGTATCTGAGTTCCATTGAAATTTCGTGTGCTCAGCATTATTTGAGTATGGCACTGAATGTTTACAACTTTTTGTTTTCCTGATCCATAATCAAAATTCGCACTCGAATTAGCAATTTTTCTTTACAAAGTATGTGGGTGTGTTATGGTGTGAGTTGAATTGAAATCATATTTAAAATAAATAATGAAGTGGAAGTGGTTTTTTCTAAACAAATGAGCGTTAAATTCACAATATCCACCAAATCTGAATCACCGAAACGATGTTGCACAGAAATGGGGAATTTTTCAAATTAAATTATAAATCGACAAAACAAAAGGCTCTCCACGAAATGCTCCTCGCCTCGAAACATGCTCTACTTAACTCGCGTCCCAGTTCTAAATTATATATGAAAATAAAGAGTGGAAACAGAAGAGAAAACAAATCAAATTAGTTAAGAGGGAAGAGGGAAGGAAAATCATAAAAATTCAAATAAAATCAAGAGGAAATGAGTGTGTATGTGCACTGCACACTGTTAGCTCCGCTTGGGCGATGCTTACTTTATGATAGGTGAGGTTTTCTTCGGAGTATTATACAATTTGCTGGGCGTTCTTGGTCGCGAAACGGGTGTTGTGCTTGGTGCGATGTTCACTTTCTTTGGTGTTGCTATTCGACTTGGCGATGGTGATGATTTGCTGGCTGCCGTTGCACTCGATCTGAAATGGAGGCAAAATTGATGATCATATTAAATTTCAGATTTTTTCTCTCTGTTTATTTCATTAACAATTATATTTTGCATACTTGCTCGCCGGGTAGCTAACGGGCCGTGGAATTTTCGATCTGGGCACCATGCATTGTGTTGTCGCTGTTGGTGTATTGCCACCGCTGCGAGTCTCTTTGAACAGTTCTCTCTCCATTTGTTGAGCATCTTTGCTCAACAATTCCCATTGAATTTGCAGCCGCTTGAAGCGATTACTTTGAATTTTCTCTTGTTTTGATTTTTTGGCGCTTTTTTGCTGTTGCTCGATATTACCGCGTAATATCGAAATGTTTGGCGAATTTGGTGGCGTTGTGAATCCACGACCAGTCATCGCCCGAGAATTCCGGACATCATTATTGTTGACGGCTAAATACTGGCAAGAATCACGATCGAACGATACATGCTTTTGAGCTAGCGCCCGACTCACTTCATCTTTCAACTTGTTACGATCATAAATATCACTAATGCTGTCTATCGACTCTAATACATTTGCAATTTCTGCATAGTATTTCAATTCAGACTTTGGTACACTGCTCAAAAACTGCTCGACTCGACTGCGTGCCTCATCATCATACTCCTTATGCTCGATGGTCATCTGTTCTTTGGTCTTTTCGCTGCGTAAATTGTTTTTCAACCGATTCACATCGAAAATGTTACCGCAATACGGATAATACTGTGTATTGAATGCCTCTGGCGCGTAGTACGGGTCTTGAACGCTGCATCGTTTTTCCATTCGATGTCGTACCGTCGCTGACGATGGTGTGGTGGCCGTTTCGTCCGTCATACTGTTACGTTTTGACTTTGTCGAAGAATTTGCTCGTCGCAAAATGCCACGGCGCATAAAACTGCTTCCAATTAAAAAGAAGTAAATTGCAAATTAATTAACTTAAATGAAGACTTGATGGAGAAATGGAAAAATGTAATTATTATAAAAAAAAAGAATTGCGCTGCTTACCCAGATGGTGGCAATTCAGAGTGTTCGTCAACGATGCGATTGTTGTTGCCACTGTTGGTCGTGGACAAGGCATCGATTTCCGAGTCGGTGAGCATTGTCGATGATCCTCGATAGCCGGAGCTGGGCGGTTGACTTGAACCGGTTGACGAATCGGTGCAGTAGCTCGTGCAATCGCATGACATAGGCCGGCTACGGCGTATTGGCGGACTCATACAGAACATCGGTTTCTGTGACAATTTCGGGTCGTTCATTACGTTTTGCACTTCAGGAATGTGTTGCAGGATTCGCTTGTATTCGAATGGCAACAGCGGTGCCAGTGATTTCCAATCGACAATATGATTGTAATCCTTCTTCTTAATGTATTCGATATCATTGGTTGAGAGTGGCCGTTGTTTTTTCACTAATGTCTCCTTCAATCCCAATGGCGATAAAATTATTTGGCTTTGGTATGTTTTCACAAATGTCAAATCGGGCAACGCGTAATTCGGGTAAATCACGTAAACAGGTGCTTGTTGTTGTTCATTTGTTTTGCTGCTATGATTGAGTTGAGCTAAAAACGAAGGTGGCACAATTTTAATTCCCTCGTCAATCTTTGACGTTTGCATCGATTTTGTAATCATGTCGAGTGGAAGTTTTGTCTTTGCATACACTTGCGTTATGTTATCAGATGTTCGACTAGCATCGGAGATACTTTTGATCGTTTCCCGTAAACTATCACGGTCCATGGAATTGTTGTTATTGACATTGGCCAGATGCTGGTTTCGGATATTCAGATTGAACTCTTTGTATTTGCGATGTGACGGTGAATCGAACACTTCGCGATATAAATCGTTTGATTGTGTTGAATTTCGCTTGGGCGAATTTGTGTTGTCATTCGCTTTGGTGGGTTGTTGCGGCAAATCTAAACTGTCATATTGGATTTCCGCTCCGTGTGTATCCTCTTCGTGTTTGCTCAATGCCGATCCTTTGCCCGAATCATACATGCTCTTTTTGCGCTGTCGATTCTCCACCGATGAGCTTGAGTCACTTGGCCAGCATCCAGACGATACATCCATGCATGTGTCGGTCGAGCTGCTCTTTTGCTTGATGAATAATTTCACGAGATTGAACGATGGTTGATTCTGTTGTGGTTCATTGCTCGATGATGATGCTTGCAACGGTAGCGGACTGTCACTTTGAGACGATGAATCCACAATTTGACACATTGGCAGAATTCGTGGCTTTCCTAACGAATCAATCGTTGAATTGCTCACTGCATCACATCTCAAATTGTTTTTCGGTTCGTCCTGATCGATCTGCAGATTCGGAAGGCTACTACTTTTGCGCACGTGCATATTGTTCATACAGTGTCGAATGCCACCAACATTCACGCTTGTGTTATTGTTACCCGACGGATATCTGTGCGAAGAGGTCGAGGTAAAAAAAAAACGAAGAAAATCATGGTTAAAAATGTGCTTATTTTCTGAACACAATGTCAGGCTCATTTCGTTATTTCATGAACATACTTGTATTACAATACTACATACCTGTGCAATTGCGTTGAACTGTCTTTTTTCAGTTTACTCCATGTGGTGAAACCCGATTCCGAGCGGTACAATGAAACTTCTAGTGCCTTCTTCTTGACAATATCGTCAATGTTTGTTCCGATATCATTTGCGTCGGTTTTCTTCTTCAGCATATCTTTGTTTGCATCAGCATAGAAGCTTTCGTCCGAATACATGGTGCTGCCTTCAAACGCAATTGTATAATTATTTTTGTTCGCTTGACATGTTATAATCATATCACAGTCTTCCGCATAACAGTCCATATCGAGCGAATCCACGCTGAGTATGGACTCTTTTACCGGTGAGAATAGTTGTTTTGACTTGAAAATAGAGTTATCCAGCTCCTTTTCCTGTTGTTTCTTTGCATTTGATTTGCACATATTCGGAATTGTCGACAGCAACAGATTGATGTCTTCGGCCCGAAAACTTTCCATATCAACGCCAGCCAAATTGGCGTCGATATTCTTTGCCAAATCATCGTAGTACGACAATTCACCAATTCCATTGTAAGAGGCTGACAGCGATGACAGCACACTTTGATGAGTTACATTATTCTCACGATAACTGCAAATCGAAATGGTTTAAAAGAAAATGATGCATTATTAAAATAAGAACACATACATGCATAAGTTATGGCCTAAGTTTGTAAAGGATTATATCTGTGTGTAATATACATATATAACAAAGCCGGTGACTCACTTGTAATCTAGAAACCATTGATAATCGGAATTGTCATGTGTAAAGTCATGAGATGAAGCGATGGATGAGGCAAGCTGTTGTATTGGATTCGCATGTACATTACTGTTGCAATCCGATTCCGGACTTGACATTTTCCCGGCGAACGAATTTCTCGCGTTCTTCAAATTACTTTGGCTGTTGCTGATCGTGTTGGCAATTTTTTCGTTTTGATTGCCTACGATATTGCTGCTGCTGATGTGATTGTTGTTATTATTGTTTTTACTGTTGCTGCTGCTGTTGTAGTGATGATGCTGATGATGATGGTTGCTATTGTTGTTGTTTGCGTTATCATACAGATATGTTTTTTCGGCGCTCCGTTTCAAATTTTCCAGCACAATGTGCACATTATACTTGAGATTTGATTCGGTCAATTGTGATGTTGTCGAATCGACATTGTTTCCATTGTAAAAACCAAGTGCGACATCATTCGTACACGGTGAATTGGTCAGTTCACGTTTGATTTGATTGTAGAATTGTGTCGAGCAAAGGGTATCATTTGGATTTTCAGTCATACCACGAATTACTTTTGTTCCTAGTGTGATCATTTCAAAAAAGAAGAGAGATACAACAAAATGACACGATAATCATAGACAATTAATTAAACCCACTATCATAAATGCTACAAATTAATGTTTAAAAAACACACACACAACACATTGCAAGTGGCCAAGTTGCATGCGTTAGTTGCATATTTAATTGGTTTTTTTTTCATTCCGTTTTGCATATGATAAGAACGATTAGGTTCGGTTAGTAATGGTACATTGACGTCGATTTAAAAAATTAGTTTCACACATGACACAGATTAATTAATGTTACTTTGCACGAGATCAATCCAAAGACATGAACAAAAAAAAACAAAGTGGGTTAGTTTGATGCATTTCGTGAGCGGATGTTTTAGCGAGAATATAAAGAAGCAGCAAGACCTATGCATTTGCATTTATCTTACCGATTTCACGCAATCTATGAGTAATCCGTTTGGTGGAAATCAAATCAAATATCATCGTTTTTTCGTCCCGAATAATTTTATTTCTTTTTTTTTTCAAATAAAATCTGTATTGTTACCACGCAAACAAGACTTGAGTCCGAATCATATTACAAAAAAAATTTAAAAAAAACAACAACAAAATGAACGAAATCTAAAAATGGAATGAAAACAAAGAAGAGAGAACATGAAAATTGAATCAAATTAACGAAAATAGAATGAAATTTATTTTTTATCACGATAATATGGCAAACAATTCGGTCAGACCGTTATATATACTATCAGAAGGCGCATGACGAATATATCGTCGAGCACGTAGTTCCATGATACACTCTCAATTGAAAAATAAAACTTGAGCGACTGTACGAATCAAGTGAACGAGCGATTCGCAATTGAATTTTATGGTTTAAGAAGTGTATACATATATCGGTGTGTATGTATATTTGGTCCATAAGCGAGACGTACTGCGAGAGATAGAGCGTCGGTTTGAATGACACAAATTTACGATTCGAACGATTTTTATTTTCGGGTTGGCATTCGGTTCAAATAGTTAAATCAAAACAAAATGCACTTTGAACAAATTAACTTCCAGCATTTCGCATCGTGGCGAATGCCCACCATCAGAATTGAACACGACTCTCTCTTTGCTGCTGCTGCTGCTGTTCCACATCAAATGTATAAATAAAATCAAATCGTACAACGTACACACATCATAAGTCAATGTAATATACGATTGGGGGCTTTTGCTTATCTGTAAAATATTTGATGTCAAATATTATGCATTGAAATGACTTTGATTGAGATAACAATCAACCAATGGCAATAAGTCATTTGTCGCTCACACACACACACACGATTACAGAGGTTGAGAGAGAGAGAGAGAGAGAGAGAAAAAAAAACAATTACTTTGCTATTATGATTTCTCTGTTGTTGTCACAACACCATAGACCCATAGGCCCATTTCCCACAAGCCAATCTTAATATATATTCAAAGTTCACGTTGTATAATCCATTTACGATTGAACCATCGATGGAAAATGGAATGACAGACGATATGACGAAATCCAAAATCAATAGATTTCGTATAGCGTTTTTCTTGTTTTGTCTTTTTTTTCTATGGACTGGTTGTAATGGCCATAAAACATGTCGACCAAACCGTTTCGAAATTTCGATTTGGAACAGTGTTTTAAAAATCAGAGTAAAATAATGCAATCGATAGACGTTTTCATAACAAGCTTGAGAGCTTAGTTTATATGTGCGATTGTAACATGAAAAAAAACGAGAAACAAAAGAAAATTCATCATCGATTGCACTTTACAGTCATCACTTGTTTTTTTTTAAAGTTCTTTGGCTGCATAATTTCTCTATTTTTTCTGCTTTCTTCGTCGCTTCTTCTTTTCAATCGTCGCACAATGGATTTTAGCTGTCACTCGGTCTTACTTATAATTGCACCATTGCAATGGCAATTTGCACATACCTGTTCGCAACTAACGATGAATTAATTCTATAAGTAAACTTCCTTGTTTTGTTTTAATTCTATTCGCTGTGTGTTTTTTTTTTCCTACTTTGGAGGCGTTCGTTTTTCAATGATGTGTCCTTAAAATGTTGGGAACATTTGTCTTGCAAGAAAATTTATAGATCGCAGTTTTCATCTATTGTTCCATCTTACACATTGAACAATGGCTTTTAAAAAGATATCACGCAAAATATGTGCTACGCGAATGTGGAAAGCCTAACACTACGTGCGAACTGAAAGTGAGTGAGAAAAAGAGACCGAAGAAAAAAGGGGAAACTTGTTGTGGTGGATGTGTGCTGTAAAAGCCACACACAATCCACATCCGAATCGATTTTTCCCTCACGAAAAAGTGTTACGTCATTAGCATTCCTTTTCCTGTTGTTTCTTTCTCTACGTCTTTCAGTGTGCGCTTTCGTATTTTCCACGTAGAAAATCTATTCGAACGTATACGTAGAGCGAGTTGAATACAAGTGAGCGCGCGTGAGCTCCACACACAACAGCTTATACACTACACTGGGAATGATGGCCGTTCAAGAGTCGAGCTCCACAAACGTGCTACCAGCGTGTAGGTCTGTATATACTGAAAACTCACTGCATGCACATTTCCATGCGAATACATGCATCTCTCACCTCCACCAAACGGTTCCTTTTTTCTTCTTCATCGGCATTTTGCAGCCGAAACAGTCGTGCTTATTTGAATTTTTTTCCATCTTCTTCTTGTTCTTCTTCTTCGTCCATCACATTTGTCAGTTTTTTCAGCGTCAATTTTCTAGCGTTTATCGCTTTTGATTTTTAATTTATGTAACATACTTGTAAAATGCTTTTGCACTTTTTCCTCATCGCTTTTACATTTTTTTCATTCGTATGGAAAAAAGGGGGCTCTTTCCCAAGCGCAACTCCACACTTAGCTTCTAAATGTGACACCGTAGTAAGTGTGGGCATACGTTTTGCGAATAAGCGACAAAGAGAATGAAAACAAGTGCGCGTGTGGTAGTGAGTAGCCTGATGCGATGCTTCTCAATGTAGCGACTAATACATGCGCACTTGTTTCCATTCTCTTTGTCGCTTGTTCGCAAAACGTATGCCCACACTTACTACGGTGTCACATTTAGAAGCTAAGTGTGGAGTCGCGCTTGGGTTAACACGGCTGTTGTTTGTGTTGCTCGAGTTCATTGCATTTTTGTTTCGTCTTTTAATTTGATAATCAGCGATAAGTTGTTTGTCTTAATGAACATCTTAATTACTTGCCCTGGCTCGGCTTTCTTTTGCTGTGATTGTTTTCTTTTTCATTCATACGGACCGTTTTATTTTATTCGACCTTTTTTGTTCCGTATTTCGCACGAAGTAACTCTTTTATTTGCCGAGCAATTAGATGTTTCTGCGCTGGCATATCATCGTGATATTTGTGGTGAGAGACAGACAGACAAACAGATAGAGAAAACGACAGCTTTGAATCTCAAGAGAAACGGCCAATATGTTTATACGCTGTCTATCCGCCGAAAATACACTACAATATATATTCACGCTTATTGGACGCCGAATTCAATATATATTCTAGTGTATTTTCGGCGTATTCTTCAGCGTGAAACATATTGAAACTTATTCAGGCGCCCTCTGGTGGCCATGAATGCATTCATTGATTCAATATGTTTCACGCTGAAGAATACTTCGAACATACATAATTCAATTCGGAGTCCAATAAGCGTGAATATATGTTGTAGTGTATTTTCGGCGAATAGACAGCGTATAAACATATTGGTCGTTTCTCTTGGGAATGTTATTGTGTGTTCCAAATTTGTAAGGCAAATCATTGGTCATAGAACATGCATCGTCGTCGTCGTCGTCGTCGTCGTCGTCGTCGTTGCCGTTTTGATGTTGATTTTGTTTTAGTACATGTGCCAGTGGCTGTGTACGGCATACACTGAGATTGCGAATATTTAGTCATACCATTTGCGATCTTAAACGAATATATGTATGTAAGAACACACATCAAGTGGCAGAGCACAACAACGAAACAAAAAAGGACAAAAAAGAGAATGCCATAATTGCGATTTGCTTGAGTGTGTTCAAAAATTTATATATGCTATTAATAATATAACCGTCCATTATGCATATCACACACGAATCGGTCGCATTGGCGACATTACTATGTCGAAATACGGTTCTTTTCGCTTCATTTTCTTCTGGTGCGTTTGAAGGCTCTGCTCGATTTGCCGTTGAGTGACAAAAAGAGAAAGACAAAAACCAATTCGGCTCCGTACGATTTTAAATTCTTCGAGAAGTTCTTGCCAATTCCATACAGTGTGCGACACAAACATTAGCGACACTTTTTTTTCGCTAACTTTCTGTGTTCAGTACAGTAATGTCACCTTTGCGGCCTCACTGCATCATTTGCGGTGGGTTTTGGGAAATAGTTGCGTGTGTGCGCCAAATACTTGAATTTTGACGCAACCGAATATCATTTGTTATCACATTGGAAGATTTTTTTTATTCTCGTCATCTCGCAAGACATAAATTTGGTGGCGGTCTCCATTTGGCAAAGCAATCTAAACATCCACTTACATAAATGAGCACATACAACCAATTAGTTCTCCTTCTATTCACATTCGTTATATAGATAGAGTGAGAAACAGCAAGAGAGAGAGAGATAGAGAGAGAGAGAGACTTGGAATATACGAAAAGCAATTTGGTGCGCTAGATTTGTGTGTTTGTTCTGGTTTCGTGCTATGAAAATTTCATAGGCAAAGCAAAGAAGAAAAAAAAAACATGAACAATTTATACACACACACACACAAGATAACTCACGGAAAAAAGAGGTTTCTCAAGCCACATCACGCTTTGCGGCATTCATAAATATACTTTAGTGAGCATATAAACAATGTTACGAAGTTGACGCGATGTCGACGATCGTCTTGTTTTTTGTACTCTCTCTCTCTTGATCGACAAAAGTGTTGCTGTCATATGGTTTTTAGAATTCTTTCGGTTTCGTCATTCTGAAAAATGTTCAATGTCTTTTGAAATGCGAGAGATTCTTAAACGAGAACCACAAACAGAGTCCTAAGTTTGTAACACGTTTTGCTCCCATTTGCTCCTTTGCTCTTAGTGGCGCGTGTATGTATATCCATAATAGACAAAACACACTCGACATTCGACACTGTGTTGTTGAAAACATTTTAATTTCCATAGACAATACCGCGATTATGATCGACATTACAATGCAACACTTCTTATTTAAAGAAATGCTTTCAAACGAAAAACAAAAAGTCTTTAAACTTTGTAACCGACTTTACTTTGTTTCATTCCCTTTTTTCTCTGTCTTTTAAATCTGTTTATTCTCTCTGGTTTCAAAACTCACTTTTCAAAATGCGTATTTTCAGTTAGACACACTGATGAATATCATTGGAAATATGTTCCGTATTCGCCTTTTTTTTCTTCTTCTTCTCTAAGTTATTTTCACTCGTTTCGTTCGTTCTACTTTGTCTTGAAAGACTGACGAAAATCTGAAAAATTGTGTCGGAATCGTATTTGCACAATAGATTATGAAGACAAAAGGGTGTGGTATATCTGTTCGGTTTGATTTCGCAATGAGTCGTAAGGGCGAGACTTTGGCATTTCGTTTCGTTTCGATTGCAATTGCGAAAAAAGAAATGTGTAAAGTCTCCCCGAATATATTGTGCATGCGGCGAGTCTGGATGACGCTAAATGTAAAGCACTTAATGCATTTGGTTTCACAATCGGCCAACAATTACAGCATACGACAAATGGAGCGCGAGTGAAGGAGAGCAATTTTCATATAGAAAACACTTGGAAATCACTTATAAAGCAGTAATCTTGAATGGATTGTACATAAATTAAGCCCACGCTGGATTCGTGGTGTTCCAATACGTGTGTCATTTTTTTGTTTCTGCTTCAATTTTATGCCTCGCCTAAGAGATGTGTTGCGCTTTAAAATGCCATGGTTGTCGACTCTAAACAAAGAAAAACTATTCAGATTTTAACTGTAAGAAAGAAACAACAACGACGAAGACGACGAAAAAAATGCGTCGGTTTGTATTATTGTATTGACAAGCAACAAATTGAAATAGATACAAATCTTGAATGGGTTTAACCTTCAATTTAATTCGTTGTTCAGTCGATACGGTCTTTTTTAGATTCACTAGTTATTTCTGTTTTTATTCGTTCGATGCTTATAACCGCATCGTGTGATTTCGGCAATCAAAAATGTGTTTGTTATACGTGGCGACAGTTAAGGCCGGCATAACAATTATATTTCATCATCAACCGAGCTCGGCCGAATCAAGCGCAAATAATTTTTTTTAATTACTAGTTATTTACAAACATCTTATCGATTTCCAACGCTCGATATCATTTTCATTTGAACACTTTTGATGAATGGATCGAACAGAAGAAGGAGAAGAGAAGTTGTAGGTCTGTGATAACGCATTGACCAAGATAAAGGAGGGAAAAAAACACATGCGATGGAAGCAATTAATGAAGCTCTATTTCATCGTTACTGCGTGATCCATCGCCGCGGCAAAATGCAATGACTCACTTGTCCTCCTCACCCTTTCATTAAAAATGCCGCATTTTTATTAATCATCCATGTATTTTGTTGTGCACTGTAGTTTTTTTTATTCTCTCTCTCTCTTTCCTTTCGTTGTATCTGCAGCCCATAGTATGTTAATTTATGTGGTTCGTGCGTTCAAGTCCGCATTCGCCGTTTAACAGTAACTAGAGTTTATAACAGATGTTTGCATTTGTGTACGCATCAAATTGAAACGCTTTCTATTTTTTTTTATTCAGTAAATTCGCATGTACATTGGCCGCGACGCTCGGCTACTGTTTTTCAGTTTTTAGCAGCAGTAGCAGCAAAAAACAAAACTCCAAATGTTTGTTGACTTGTAGCTCCGTTCTAAAATGCTGATCAGCAACAAACGGTCGCAGAGAAGCAACAACACCATCAGCTTGCTTCCGATTCGATAGATGCCTATTTTTATATGTACATCTATATGTATGCTCTTTTATATTTTGGCTTTAATCATAGTAAACACCAGTTATGAATTTGGTTTTCTGCTGCCTCCGTCGAACGCATTGTGGACGTGTGTATCAAATGTTTTGTTGTGTGCCAAAAATAAGTTTCGAGGTATGTATTTTGGTAAATCGCATAAACTTGTCTCTGTCCCATGTTTACCACGTTGTCTTGGCTACGATACCAAACTCATTAACGGTGTACGGAAAAATTTCAAATGGAAAACTCGAAAAATGTCACTCAATTTTCTAAAATTCGCATTTACCCAAACCAAGTGGGAGAGAGAGAGAGAGCTCGCGGGCCGCGTTCGAATTTCATAGAGAAAACAAACGAAAAGGAAAAAATGTCGTTGGATGACGACTATGACTCACACGCACTTTGTATTTTAATACGAAAATATTATTATTGGATAGCAAATACCGAAATATGCACGCAGACTCAGTACGCTCTCTCTGTCTCTCTCTCTCTCTCACACTCTGGCTCTCGCTCCCGTCGCACAATTTTCCATCGAACCACAATGATAATAGTAATAAGCAACCGCGAATTGAATTCAGTGTGAATGTGTGCGCTTATTTTTCTTCTTCAATTTTCCGATTCTGAAGGAACTAGAATTGGCTGTGAGTGTGAGCAATTCAATATTGTGAATGTAATTTAATGCCATCGTATTTCACTCTATCCTCTCTATTTTGCATATGTATGAACGCATTAAATTAGTTTGGATATGCGTCGCATGTTTGCGGTCAAAAATCAATTCGACTGATAAAACTGCGATTGATTTTACACGAAAACCGCCAGTCAGGCAGGCAGGCTGTTTGTTATGTATGGATAGAACAAAGCCTTCAAATATACGCATAGGTGGAAGTGCACACAGCAATTTTTCGTAGGAGTCATTTCATCTTCCTCTTTACTACTTTAAATTAACGTCATAAATTCTAATGAACACTTTTTTCCCTTTAAAATTGTTCTCCGTCGCTCATGAAGTTTTATGTTTTTCAATAAAACGAGAACAATTCTTTGCACAAAATGTTACATTTTTCCATACACACACATATACGTTTTCCTTCTTCATCATTTATGCAATTGAATTCATTTTTATACACCGAAAATGTAGAGAAAAAAACGTATGAAATAACAGAAACACACGATCGTTCGCTTCACTTCATTGTTTATATCGCACATCATCCATGTCAATGACAAAACGAATGAAAAAAAAAATTGATTAAACAATAGGATTTTCGATGGATGTGAAAATCTCTATATATCTTTCTCACTATTTGCAAAACTCACGTCGCCGTCATATGCAACTAAATTATTCGTTTCTTTTTTCTCCTTCACCCAAATTACTACATATACTCTTTTTGTTGCTCCTATTGGCCCAATCAATGTCTTTACTACTTTTTATTTTTGCTTTTTTCTCGTATATACTTACATCGCAAGGGATTTCTTTTGGTTTGTTGCACACAATACTCTATATATACTTTTTTCCACTTCTTCGTTACATACACAAAAATTCACTTTTTATTTTTATTTCAGCGAGACAAAAAAAAACAAACTGTGTGTTTTGATGATTCAAAAAGTTTCCTTAATAATTCACTCACACTTTTTTCTATTTCTTTTTCCTGTTATTATGGGTAAATCCCTCAATTTGATTAAATATAGAAATTTATAATTTCTAAGCATTTCATTTGGACGAGTTTTCAAAACACCACACCTTTGTTACAAAAATTGATGAAAGCAACTGCACAGAGTAATTCATTTTCTTGGCTCTACGACTGCTCTTCGATTGCTATCACTTCATTGACACTGTGTATCAATGTGTGTGGGCATGCGTAACATGCACTCGTAACAACACACATTCACTCACTCACTCACTTACTCACTACCAACGGAGTGCTACACATGACATTTGAACGTCAAACACCATTCCCGTTTGTTGAATACTCTCGCTCTCTGTGTGTTGTTTTTTATACGTCTAATCGTTCGGTTGGTGCACTTAGGTTATGATGTTCGTTGGACGACCGTCACATCCGAATCGTTTATTTTCGAAATGAATTTCAAAACATTGGCGAGAAATTTGAAATTACAACGATGGCTGGTGGAAAGCAAAAGGAATTATTCGTCAGAGGAACTTCGATTGTGAGTAAATTGAGTTGTCAATGTTGACATTCATGCCATATTTTTGGTTGTGTTTTGCTTTTCATTCAAGGGGCAAATACAAAAGTGTCGTTGGCCTCGAAGTACACACACAAATTTTGTCAAACAGCAAATTATTTTCGGCAGCACCAAATGATCCGTCCGCACCAGCAAACACAGCTGTTTCCCTGTTTGATGCTGCCACACCAGGAACATTGCCGGTAATTTTTTGGAGAAATTACAATGAAAATTTACACATGAGAATCAAATACAAATTGTTTTCTTTCTTTTTCGGACTGAAATAGAGAATCAATCGACATTGTGTGGAATCAGCGGTGAGAACAGCCATGGTATTTAATTGTGAGCTCAATCCAATTTCAATGTTTGATCGTAAACACTATTTTTACGCCGATTCTCCGGCTGGCTACCAAATAACTCAACAGCGCCTGCCATTGGCTGTCAGTGGAAACATTTCGTTTTTCGTTTTCAATGTAAAGAATCCCTATCTAAAATCGTCGAGCATACATCAAATCCAGTTGGAACAGGACAGTGGCAAGTCAATTCATTTTCCTGGCACCCGAACGTAAGTTGTTTCATTTTCCATCTGTTATGGTACTTATTTAAATTTCAACTTGTAGGAGTCTTCTGGATTTAAATCGTGCCGGTGTCCCATTGATGGAAATTGTTTTTGAGCCAGATTTATCAACTGGCGAAGAAGCAGCAGCATTGTTAAGAGAGTTAGCTCTGATTCTTACACGATTGGAAGTTTGCTCATGCAAACCAGGTGCCTTGCGATGCGATGCAAATATTTCAATTCATAAACCGGGCGAACCACTTGGTGTTCGCAGTGAAGTAAAAAACATTGCATCCGTTCGTGCTGTAGCCAAAGCAATTGAGTACGAAATTGCCAGGCATGTCGAAGTGATTGAAAGTGGTGGAAAAATTGTGAACGAAACAAGATCATGGGATGATGAAACGGGAACCACCATTCGGATGCGTGACAAAGAAGTTGTACAGGTACTTTGGATTTCGAAATACTTTTCGATGAAAGAATTTTTGGATTGAACTTTATCCAATGTATCCTTTGACTGAATTCAATTCGATCATACTAGGATTACAGATTTATGCCCGAGCCAAATTTGCCGCCGCTGAATTTAGCCTCAATTGATATAGATGCCATACGGGATAGTATACCGGAAATGCCAGATCTGACGAGAGATGCACTAAGCAGTTATAATTTACGACAGCAAGAGGTTGAAATCATGGTGGTAAGTAATGATGATTCAACTGTTTACGTTGTGAGACAATAACATGCTATTATTTTTACAGAAATACACAAATCTATTGAACTTATTCCTGAGCGTTGTTCAAAAGGATTCGAGCAAAGAAGTGAAAAACCTAGCTACAACACTGCTCAAATACCATGTACTTGCCTCATGTAATCAATTGAAAATACGACCGCAAGACTGGTAAATATGTTCGAATCATAGAGAAAATTCAATTCTAATCAAGTTAACTAAAGTTGAACCAACTCTTTCGTCAGCCCATTAACAGTGGAGAATTTTTCGGAAGTAATGGAAATGCTGCGTGAGAATGTGATAAATGTTGCCATATCGGAGAATGTAATCTTCCATATTATCGAGAATCCAACCGTCTCAGCTAAACAGGTAGGATTCTATTCAAATACGCAACGAATTGTGTTACGTGTGTGAAAAGCTCAAATTAATTTTGAATAACGAAATATAATTTCATTTTCCAGTTCGTAGAGGAAAACAATCAAAAGGTGATTCGAGATTCCGAAGAGTTGCGGAAGCTATGTAAACTGGTAATTGAAAAATATGACAAAGTTTCGAAAAAAGCGAGACGCGGCAAAGAAGGCGAATTCGATAAATTGGTGAAGGCACTTTTGAAGGAGTCAAACAAACGGGCTGATATTGCTTTATCAAAAACAATTTTGCAGGAACTACTAAAATCCAAATAGATTTTGAAAAAAATTTGTTTTTAAATGAAATGATTTCCATGTGTTCAAATGAAGAATCAGCTGATTTTGTCTAAGTTATATTCTGGCCGAAATACCCATTTCAAATACACATTTACCGGTTTTCGACCACACATTCTGGTGCTGAATAAGAAAGACTTGAGCGACACAAACACATACTATGACATAGTGCACGACTTATCATTTAACGCTAAATTTCATAATGTTAACAATTATAAAAAATTATGAAACAAAAATAGAAAATCTCGTCATATTGTGGTTGTTAGGTGTGAGTTGTATTGCTGTTTTTATTTTAAAAACCACTGAAATTGAAATATTTGAATAAACCGCGACATCTGTCGCAGTGATTTTCATACGTACTTAACCTCAAAGCATGGAGCAGATAAAAGTCAACAAATAAAGTGAATCAAAATAAGGAGTCGGTAGTTTTTGCTCGTTTAAATTTAAAGACAAATTTGCCAAAAAAAATGGTGTCTAAATTTCGTGAGGTGTACAAAGCGGTGGATAAAAATGCGGTGCATTGGTTTCCGGGTCATATGGGCAAAGGATTGCGTCAAATGCAGCAAAAATTGAAAATGGTCGATTGTGTTATTGAAGTGCACGATGCACGTATTCCATATTCTGGCCGAAATACCGATTTCAAACACACAGTCACCGGTCTTCGACCGCACATTCTGGTGCTGAATAAGAAAGATTTAAGCGACACGAGCACACACGATGACATCGCCAATCAGATCAAAAAAAATGAAGGTATCGATCATGTACTGTATACAAATTGCAAGGATCAACAGTGTGACGGTGTCAGGAGTATCGTACCAACGGCAAAATATTTGATTCAAAATTCGAATCGATTTAATCGCAGCGAACAACCAGAGTACAATCTTATGATAATCGGTGTGCCAAACGTGGGAAAATCATCGCTCACGAATGTGCTGCGAAATCGCCATTTGAAAACCAAGGGAGCAAGTCAGGTTGGTGCTGTGGCCGGTATTACTCGAAGCGTTCTCACGCGAATCAAAATATCCGAAAAACCATTGATTTATATGTACGACACGCCAGGCATTTTAATACCACACATCAAAAACCTTGAGCACGGAATGAAATTGGCCAGTGTTTCGTGCATGCAAGATCATTTGGTGGGTGAAATTCAAATTGCTGATTATATTTTGTATTGGTTGAATAAAAACGGGTTTTTCGGATATGTTGAGCTCATGAACTTGAAGGAACCAACCGATGACATACAAGAAGTACTTCTGTCCGCATCCGCAATACTCAATAAAACCGTGAAATACAAACATCCCGATGGCACAGTGAAGGTTCGACCAGACTTTGACTTTGCGGCTCGTCATCTGATTCGAGCCTTTCGTGATGGACAACTGGGCAAATTCAATTTAGACAACGAATATTCACAGAAAACACACGAAAATCCATAGTAAACACTACATTGTCGAAATGGAATTTATTTTGATAAAAACATTTGTTTTTTTTAGAATGAAATGATACAATTCTGCTTGTTAAAATGATGTTTAAAATGATTAAAACCAATATGTTGAATCAAAGTGTTATTTGTTTTAGTTATAATTTGTTGCTTAGATTTAATGACTTCCATTGAACACACATCTCTATTCGGGTACTGGGGCTTCGGCTACTTCATCGGCTTGTTCCACTTTGGAAATGACAGGATTTGGATCCGGTATGATTGGAATGTTTTGAACATCACGTTCCTTTGCTTTGCGATTCAGCTGGCAGCGATTCTCATAGAATTTTATAACATCTTGTGGACTTTTTTCATTAACTTCAGTTGCGGCTATCAAATCTAATTCAGTACAATCGTGCCATCGCACTAAAAACATCAACTCTCCAGTATAATCGGTGGCTCCAACAATCTCATCTAATTCCAACCCTCGATCAAATCCTCTCGGCTTCTCGATCTCCGTCAATCGACTCTTTTTATCAACTCTTTTCTTTTTTTCCGCTGACATTTTCTCAAAACTATAAAAACAATTGAACTTCTCTCTTAAATTTATGATTTTTTTGCGGTATTTATGTTTTTAGCCGCAGAACAAACTCTATCAGATGTGAAATTTCGTTTGCTATGAAGTTGGCTACGGTCAATGTGCGCGTGAATGTTGTCATTTGCGATGAAATGGATGAATTTCGAAACCAACCGCACAATATCAGCTAACGTCAGGGCTTTGCTGTTACGATGACTTTGTGTTTTCTACTCATCAAATAGCAATTGAAGTGTAGTTGAAGCAGAGCTTAGTTGTTTTACAAATTCAATAACAAAATGGTAATGAAAATATTTCTTAGATTGTTTCGGAAAACCATTTGGTTATGCACAATTTCCAAATATTTAGAAAATTTCCCGAAAAATAATTAATTCATTTGAAATTGTGTAGTCATTGATTCAAGTTATTTGTCGCTCAAATCCAATCAATAGCTTGTTTTTTTGTTCTCTTAAATTCGGTTTCATTGTGATTTTTATGATTTTCCTGTGTCAATGCCAATTGAAAACCGAGAAGAAAAAATCCCGAATCCATTTATTTTGCTAAACAATCAAATCAAATGAAGTTCATCTGCATGAGATTTCAATTTTGATTCATTTACTACAATTATAAGGTTATGTACAATGAATATAACATTTCAATATATTTTTTATTACTTCCAAATTTTAGGGTCAAAACCAGTCGGGTGGTGGAGGAGGTGGCGATAAAAAGGATGACAAGGACAAAAAGAAGAAATATGAGCCACCAATTCCAACTCGTGTCGGCAAGAAGAAGCGCAAGGCAAAGGGACCAGACGCTGCAATGAAATTACCGCAAGTAACACCGCATACAAGATGTCGATTAAAGCTGCTAAAACTGGAGCGGATAAAAGATTACCTGCTGATGGAAGAAGAATTCATTCGCAACCAAGAACGACTGAAGCCACAAGATGAGAAAAATGAAGAGGAACGTTCGAAAGTCGACGATTTGCGTGGAACACCCATGTCGGTCGGCAATCTCGAAGAAATCATCGACGATAATCATGCTATTGTCTCGACATCCGTGGGAAGTGAGCACTACGTTAGCATTTTATCGTTTGTCGACAAAGACCAACTGGAGCCTGGCTGTTCGGTATTATTGAACCACAAAGTGCATGCGGTTGTTGGTGTTTTGGGTGATGACACCGATCCAATGGTAACCGTTATGAAGCTTGAAAAAGCACCACAAGAAACATACGCTGATATTGGTGGTTTGGATACACAGATCCAAGAGATCAAAGAATCCGTCGAACTGCCATTAACGCATCCAGAATACTACGAAGAAATGGGTATCAAACCGCCAAAAGGTGTTATTTTGTACGGCAGTCCGGGCACTGGTAAAACTCTACTAGCCAAAGCCGTCGCCAATCAAACATCGGCCACATTTTTGCGTGTCGTCGGCTCCGAACTGATTCAAAAATATCTGGGTGATGGACCAAAATTGGTGCGTGAACTGTTCCGTGTGGCTGAAGAGCATGCCCCGTCCATTGTGTTCATCGATGAAATCGATGCGGTCGGCACAAAGCGTTACGATTCAAACTCAGGTGGTGAACGTGAAATTCAACGTACTATGTTAGAGTTGCTTAATCAATTGGACGGTTTTGATTCGCGTGGCGATGTCAAGGTGATTATGGCAACAAATCGTATCGAAACATTGGATCCGGCTTTGATTCGACCAGGTCGTATCGATCGTAAAATTGAATTCCCGCTACCCGATGAGAAGACAAAGCGTCGCATTTTCACAATTCATACATCACGAATGACACTGTCGGATGATGTAAACCTCAGCGAATTGATCATGTCAAAGGATGATTTGTCTGGTGCCGATATCAAGGCCATTTGCACCGAAGCTGGTTTGATGGCGTTGCGAGAACGACGCATGAAAGTCACCAACGAAGATTTCAAAAAGTCCAAGGAAAGCGTTCTCTATCGAAAGAAAGAAGGCACTCCAGAAGGTCTATACCTATAAATTGATTTCATCCTAATTCTCCTGTAATCTTGATTTTGTTTCTTTCTTTTTCATGAATATTTAATAAACAATAATACACACGAGTTCTTATACTTAATATAAAAAGTGGAAACAATTGTTTTTATTTATTTCTTTGCGTCATTTTAGCACCACATGGAATGTAGGCTACTGTAGTGATTTTTTTTACGAGAAATTTTTAAGACTATTCAGGCCATTTTTTGGACCGTAAACGATTTTTTAGTTTAGTTGATTCATTTTAATATCCATATTTTTTATTTCAAATGAAACAATTACGCCTAATTGCAAAAATGAAATAATATCATGTAAACGTAATTCAATTATGAGATAGCTCAAAAAAAAATTTGAAACATTTTTCGTTGCCAATGTGAAATATTGTATGATGACCGTTCACATTGAACGTACATTAAAACAATAATTGAAGAATACAATTTTATCATATAATTTTTTTAAATTATTGTTAACAATATTATAATGATTTATAACAAAAACTTGTGAAACAGACATTTCCAACATCACCCAGTTAACTTTGTCGTCTTCAGAAAATATTACGTCCGTTGAACAAAAAGTATACTAACATTAAATCTACATTCCATGTAGTGCTTACGATAATATTTTGATGTGAAACATCAAATTAATTAAACTCCTTGAATTTACAAGCTTCAAGAACGCGGAGCGGAGCGAAGCGACGATCTGCGGTCTTGTTTCTTCCTTGAATCACATTATTGAATCTTTGGGTATCGAAACTGCTTGGAACCATATCTTGACCCCAGCGTTGATTCTATTCTTTTCATGTGCTCCGTTTGCTTGTTAACAATATCGCTAATACTATTATCCTTCTGAGATGGATCCGTGCATAGAGTGCACTGGCCGCGGAAGGGTCGTTGCAAAATTAGATCATTTTGAACATTTGAATTGGTACTTTTTGCTGCCATTGGATTTGAAACACTTCCTTTATATTTGCCCAATAGAAAACCATTTTTGAATCCCTGCTCAAAACCATCATCGAATCCTTTCTGGAATTGAGACTCACGACCATCATGTACACCGTCTGAGTATCCCATCTGAAATCAAATCCAAAATATACCACATCGTTAGGCATATATGAAAGTCATCGAATATTTAGTCACACAAAAACAAGCTGTATACGTATTTGTTAGATTTCACTTTCCACTTTGTTTCATTTCATTGAGCTACCGCGATGGAAACACTAAAATTTATTGTTTTCTTGTTCTGTAGTGAGACTGATAATATACCAAATCGTGCTATTCACATTTTTAACTTACTTTTTCCATTTTCTGGGACATTTTTACGTGATTCGCCTTGCTGATGTTATCAAATTCTTCATCGGAGAAATCGGACATCATCTTGGCTGCTTTTTAATGTGCAATTTATCGCAATTTATAGTGAGATTTAACGAAACAAATCGTTGACGATGTGCACGTGAAGTTCACTTTGGCTGAGTGTGGAACAACTGTCAAATTGTTGATGTAATTCATAACCAATAAAATGAAATTCGATATAAATAACACTTATTCTATAAACCGGCTGTGAACGAATTCTTTATCACTTGGATTAGTTTCATTGTGTCCATTAAAATGGAATCGACCGTAGATGAAATCGGCGAGTTGATCACCAGACATGCTCATGAAAATCCAGAAGGTCTGTCAAATTCCGATCTATCGAATTTGCTGCCAAATATATCGGTTCAGGATCGTGTTGCTTCGATTAACAAACTGTTACAGCAGGGGCATTTAGAAATTCTTACAAAGAATAACAGTTTGATTTATCGATACAAAGATGCGTCGAAAAAGACCAATGTGCCAAAGGGAGCCGATAACGAAGAGAAAATTGTCTACAGTATCATTGAAGAGGCTGACAATAAAGGCATTTGGATTCGGGACATTCGCGTTAAATCTAATTTGATCATGACACAATTGAATAAAATCCTCAAGAATTTGGAGTCGAGAAAATTGATTAAAGCGGTGAAATCGGTGAATGCAAGCAAAAAGAAAGTGTACATGTTATACAATATGGAACCAGATCGAACGGTGACCGGTGGCGCTTGGTATCAAGATCAAGATTTCGAGTCGGAATTTGTGGACATTTTGAATCAACAGTCGCTGCGGTTTCTTCAAATGAAATTGGAAAACGCACGGAAACTAAATGACGGACCGTTGGCTACAAAGAAAATGGCCTGTTGTTCGGTTAAACAGGTGCACACATTCATATCGGAGCTGGGAATCAGTAAGGTAATTTTGAACACAACATAGCATTTTGTTCTTTCGAATGATACATTCTCTTGAACAGATTATTTTCGAAGGAATAGAAACACAATATTTTCTCTTTTTTAAGGTCAAATTGGATGAAGACGATCTCGAAACAATTCTAAAAACAGTTGTCTACGACGGAAAAGCAGAGAGAATTCCACAGGCTGAAGGTGGTAGTCTCTACAGAGCGATTGAATCACCATTGTCGGTGCCGGGCCTGATCCAAACTCCGTGTGGCATTTGTCCAATTGCGAAGAACTGCGCGACAAAGGGAGATGTTACACCAATTAACTGCCAATATCTGACCGACTGGCTGGAGTGATAACAAAGATATGCCGTGTAGACGATTCGTCTTTTCCAATGCAATCGATTACCACGTTTACATAGAATTTTATTGTTATAATTGAATATTTTATTCAATGTTTTTTTTTTTCTTAAATAAAATTCATTTTATGTGTTCTATTTTTAAATGAAAATTCGTTATCTTCTCTATTTTCTTTTGAAGAAACCCCTTTTTTCCAAAAATCAGCCCAATTTACTCGTTGCTTTGCTCAAAAAACAACGTCGGTGATTTCAAATGCATTTTCCTTCGGATGAAAGTGAAAGACATGACCTAGTTACCACGATGCATTGCAAACCAGTTATTCAGCCGATAGCCAATAAATCTTTATTCTCGTTTTGTATGCGAAAAATAGAAATTCACGTCGACATTTGAAAACGTTGAACTCGTTTCGAATCGTGATATGGGTCTACTATAAGCACTGCCGCGATATCAGATGATTCGAATGAAAACTAACAATAAAACGTAAACAAATGCTATCGTTACGTATATGACGCTCGCGCGACAAGCACGCTACCGAATCAACTCGAGAGTATAGTAGGTTGTAGCATCGCGTACAGTAAACGTAAAACAAAGTGGGTCTGGCTATTATTTGTTTTTCAATTTGTGTGAATACACAATATTTTTTGCTATTGCTGTCTGATCAGTTGCTGTCGCAATGTGTAAATGATTAAATGAATCGACCTCTAAGTTCTTTTCCGTTCCATTGAAGTTGACGACAAGACGGTTATCGACATTTTTCCAAAGGAATATTTCCAAATCGCTTTGGCAAGATGCTTCTCTACTGATTTCGGTTTGTTGACACATGTCAAAAATGAGTGTTGTTCGGCGCACGAGATCGATATAGAAGCAATAAGTAAACATTCCCAGTCCTTATCGAAGTGTTTCGAGATGATTCTATCTGATTTTTCTGGGCTGGCATGTGTTGCACAATTTCGATTTGATTACGAATTTTCGAGAATACGTTTTGGTCGAATTGTATGCAAGAAAGACGTGACATCAGATGAGATTTATATTCAATCCCTGGAGCTCTACAAAGAGCAATAATGATGATTTTCATACGGAAATTTCCAAAAAAAAATGTTTAAGGGTTTCATTGTTAGCATTATCAATGGTCAAGACACTTCATGATGTATTTACTATATATAGTGCGTACTAATAATAAGCAAATAATTAAATAGTGCTTGTTAAAATGCATCATCAGTCTCAATAGTCTTCCTAGATTTACAGCGATAGAGAAAAAAACAGCAATCGATTACAACGTAGGCCTTATTTTCTGTTGTTGCTGATTTTCTTGCTATTTTCGTCAATTACAGATTGTGGCTCAAATAAAATTTAGCTTGATAACGATATGTTATTCTTTTATTATCACCATCGTCGTCACTCTTGACGTGTCGTGCCGTGCCGAGTGTATAAAAGAGCGCAGCTAATACGAGATAATTTATTCAAGACGCAACTTGCACTCTAACAGGAAGCATCGTTAATTTGAAAAGAAGTTAAAAAAAACAACGAACGTCTGTCACATCCGCGTAGCTATAAACCAGCATCAGGTAAATCATTTTTAATGGTTTTATTAAAGGAAATAGACTATATAATTCAACCGGAATATTATTGGTTTTGATTTTCGCTAAATTTTTCATACAGCGTTTCGTTACACATGTAAGCACACACACACAGATTCGAGCCGTTTGGCGACCATTTCGCCACTTGTGTATTATTAGATCTCAGCCCTTTTTTCTGAGTATGCGCCAGAATATTGCCGCGTCTTGGTTTCTCTCTTGTACAACAAACTATCATAATCGGCAAAGGAAAACCAGATTGTCACGTGTACAACGAGTGACTCAGCGTTTAACATTTTGATCATGTTTTATTTAATGTTTTTTTTTGTTGCATTCAACAATCCTACTAATATCAATCACCGTAGACTAGTTGACGTTTTTTTTTTCACTCTGACGCTTTGTTAAATATACGTATATTTTGATTAGGTCTTCAATCGATCCACTTGGAACAAAAGACTGATTAAATCACCGTGGAACCAAGAAAATTTATAAAACAAACATGTTAATCAACTCCTCGCAAAATTACCGACTGGCCATCCAAACGATCCGTTCACATAGCGGTCTATTACAAGATGTTAGCCAGTTGAATGTTTGCGCGAAAAGGTGGCTTTGGGCATACAAACCTATAATTGGATCGAGCAGCATCAATAGAAACCGAATTCAGGGTCAATGCCAACGTGGTTTTTCGAATAGCGTGTTGCTATATCAAAGCCATCCCACCGACACTCAGTTTCAAAAGTAATCTAAATATTAATATATGTATGTAACAGTCGATTAAGAGTTTTATTAAATCGAATGTTGCCAAGTGTTCACCGAGACAAAAGACATTTGCTGAAGGATTTGTGGTTCAAATAAATCAGTTTTTATCTTCATAGGGGATTTGATATGCTGAAGTGATGTAAATTATAGTTTCATTACAAAGTTGTGATAATCCCTTTGACACTCAACGTTTATTGTATACCTGCACATTGGTTGATAAAATCATTTCTACCGACCGAAAATTGTAATTTTTTTTTTCCATCTAATCTTGGATTTGCTTCAATCGGTGGCTGTGAATCTCTTGGCATCTGATTTAGTTTTTCTTACAAATGAAAACAATCTGATTCTACACAATTGTGTCGAAATTATTTTCATGTGTAAATCTTGAAGTAGATTTGGTTGTTTGTTGGGTTTTGTTCAAAAGTGGCCGTCCGAAAGCAGTTGATGTTGTAATTTGTGCACTTGTCGAAAATCTTATTCATATTGCATTCACAAGTGGAAAATGTTCCTAATATTTTATATGGTATTTTTGATTTCATCTTTCAGAATGAGCCCAATCGCATCACAGCAAATCTCTAGTCATCCAAAGATGGAGAGTAACGGTACTAAGAAGGGTCTTACATCTGAATACGTGTTTGAACGTGAAAAAAAATACGGTGCACATAATTATCATCCACTTCCAGTGGCTCTGTGCAAAGCCAAAGGCGTTTACATATGGGATGTCGAAGGAAAACGTTATTATGATTTCCTTAGTGCATATTCTGCAGTTAATCAGGGTCATTGCCATCCAAAAATTCTGAAAGCTCTAACCGAACAAGCACAAACACTCACACTCACCTCAAGGTAACGCTATCGATTATAAGCTATAATAATTCTATACAAAATCACAAATATCTTATCAATAATTCAAATGGAAACGTGTATTCTTTACATTTGTCGTTAATTCAAAATTTGTATTCTACAGAGCCTTCTATTCAGATGTGTTGGGTGAATACGAGGAATTTGTTACAAAGTATTTTGGCTATGACAAAGTGTTGCCGATGAATACCGGTGTTGAAGGTGGCGAAACGGCTTGTAAATTGGCACGTCGTTGGGGTTACGATGTGAAGAAAATCCCGCAAAATCAAGCAAAAATTGTATTTGCCGAAGGAAACTTCTGGGGCCGAACATTGTCAGCTGTTTCATCGTCATCGGATCCAACGTGCTTTGAACGATTTGGTCCATTCATGCCAGGCTTTGAATTGGTGCCCTATAATGACGTAAAAGCGTTGGAAGAAAAACTAAAAGATCCGAACGTATGCGCATTCATGGTTGAACCGATTCAAGGCGAAGCTGGTGTGTTCGTTCCAGATGATGGTTATTTGAAAGAAGTGCGTCGCCTATGCACAAAATACAATTGCTTGTTCATTGCTGATGAAGTTCAAACTGGTCTTAGCCGAACCGGTAAATTGTTGGCCGTTGATCATGAAAATGTTCGTCCCGATATTTTGATTTTGGGTAAAGCATTGTCGGGTGGAGTGTATCCAGTGTCAGCCGTACTAGCAAACGATGATATTATGTTGACAATCAAACCCGGAGAGCATGGTTCGACATACGGTGGCAATCCACTTGGGTGCAAAGTAGCAATCGCCGCTCTCGAAGTGCTTCGCGACGAAAACCTAGCCGAAAATGCTGAACGATTGGGCGAAAAACTCCGATCTGAACTCCGAAAACTACCAAAGGATATGGTGCCGATCGTACGCGGCAAAGGATTATTGAATGCCATCGTTATTGATGAACGTAAGTGCTTCTCATGCTAAATATAGATAACAAGGATTAACAAAACATTGTAAATAATGACTTAATTATCAAACTGTAGGTCTCGATGCATGGGAAGTGTGTCTTAAGCTCAAAGAAAACGGACTCTTAGCTAAACCTACACACGGCGATATTATAAGATTGGCGCCACCACTTGTTCTCACCGAAGAACAACTTGATGAATGTGTCGATATCATTACAAAGACAATTTTTTCATTTCAACAATGAACTGGAACAGCGCAGCTAGTTCAAGATTCAATTTAATTTCACTCAATAATTAGTTCATTCTCAATCAATGTATTATTTTTATCACGATGACTGTGAAATAATTATGAATAAAATTTTAATCACCAACATATAATGGACGGTTTCTCTCTCTCCCTCTCTCTCACTCCCCATATTTTTAAGTTGCAACCATTAAGTTCGGTTGAAATAACCATAGATCATAAAGTCTCGCGACAATATTCCACCTGCAAAAAAAGCAACAACAAAAAACACACACATATGAATCATATGATATGATAATATCGAATGCAAATTTATTCGAACCTTCAACGGTATGGTTACGCGCATGCCACAATTTAAATTAATGATTTCGATTTTAATGTAATGTTATCACCGTCATAAGCACCTCTGCAAGTGTGCGATCTGATTTCATGATTAAAAACTATGTTATTTGTTTGTTTGTTTGTTTTTTTAGCTATAACACTTGAATTTTCGTTATGTTTGAGAGAACGATTTGCTAGATCATCGAATGAAATCTCTACCAGCACTTGTTCTGCATCCATTATTGGCTGATTTGACGTTGATCTAAGTCGATATTGTTCTTTGATAGTTCGAAATAACCGATACAAACGATTATTTTCCAAGCAAGCGAGCGAGAGAAGGATAACAACAAACAAAAGACGACTTTACTGCTAAACTCGTGTTGTGGCTGGTACGAGTTTCACACGAAAATGACGGTTAAAGAACGGATCATCGGTGATACAGCTTTTTTTTCTCTTTGTATCAACAAGTTTGAGCATGTGCCAATAGCTCTATCAATTACGTCAAATTTCAATATAAAAAGAAACACAAGCTCAGTTGAGGTTCAGTAATCAAACTCATCATCTTCAATAAAGTTCACGACTTCTGGAAGCAAATCAATTTTTGTTGTGCTGAATTCTTGAGTTGATTCAAAATTTGTACCATTCGTTTTCCTTTTAATAACAATCAAAATGAGAGAAACCGTGATAGTTCTAACACTTTTCTGTTTGTTCGGTTACATTGTCGCTAAATATCGTGAGTAATTTGCCAAGAAAAATTCTTTGTTTTGCAAGCAAGAAACTGATTGGATTCAAATAAATTGGATTGGATTGGATTGAAGAAAAAGTCGACTGCGAGTAAATTTGGGATTGATTTTTATTTAAATTGCAGCGACCGATTTAACGAGATGTCATTTTGGCGATACAAATTGTTTGAAAAAAACGATTCAGGAGTATGCAACGCAGTTGAAATCGGGGCGACGCGATTTGGGCTTAGTACCAATTGATCCATTGCAAGTTGACGAAGTCAATATTGACCAAGGAAACACCAGCCCCGTGAATATCAACTTGAAATTCCGTGATCTCAAATGCCATGGATTGAGTACAGCAACAATCAAAAAAGTGGTGTAAGTTTATAACAACATCAAAACAAAACAAAAGCAATTGCAAAAAAAAACACCGCACCAATAACAAATTGTAAACAACAAAAGATCAACAGAAAAAAAAGCAATTCAATGAATGACGCAAATATTGTTTATTGCAGTGGCTTCCAAAAAGATATAGCGAATTCTAAATTCGAAATTTACGCTAAAATTGAGCGCATTTCGCTAGTCGGTCGATACAAGGCGCGTGGAAATATTTTGTTATTGCCAATTTTCGGCAACGGCGCCGCAAACTTAACACTCGGTGAGTGTGAATTCGCAAAAACTAATTTACAAATTGAAAGTCTATTTATAAGAAATCTGTTTATTCATGTTTTTATTTTTGATTTTGTGGTCCGTTTGGATGATTCAATAGATAACATTGACGCAAGCATCAAATTCATAGCCAAGGCTGAAACTAAAAAAAGCAAACAGCACCTAAGAGTTACCGATCTTATATTGGATTTTGATACGACAAGGTAAACATTTGCATAAATTGTATCTTATAATATAGATATTTGTTGGTTTGGAGATTCGGTTCTTACATTTCCGTTTCTAAATTCTAATTTGAAAATTTGGTTTTTTTTTCGATTGGATTTGCTTTCCAGACTTTGGATGAATTTTGAAAATTTAATTAACGGCGATCAATTGCTCAGTGAATCGACCAATACATTTTTGAATGATAATTGGACGGAAATTTTGAGAGAGTTGAAGCCCGTATTGACGAAAGCCATTGGTGGCATTTACAAAGCCGTCGCTGAACCAATCTTCAATAAATTCCCATATGAAGAGCTCTTCTTAGCTCATGATGAATGAATACTGTTATCGAGGGCACAACATATTTAGTCATACATGTATATCAATGAAAATTATTTATAACGTATTGTACAAAACAATTACTAAAATTAATTTTTTTTATCAAAAATAAATGCAATTGTGTTTTTAATTCTTCCGCACTCTAAAAATTGCACATATATTATGAGGAGAGGGAAAAGCTACAGGTGATTTTTTTTCTCCAAAATTCTTTTGTTAGTTGAATGGGCAAGCGGAATAATGAAACGTAATTCTGTTTTTAAATGAAGTGCCTCTGAGAAAATTTTTCAGTAAAAAAGCCCCACAAAAATATTGTCTGA